ATTGTATGTTATGAAAGGGTTAAGTTCAAGTTCAATTAAAGTTAAGGACAGTTTTTGTTCAATTTCTGAAAGCTATCTAGAGACAGTTTTCAAACAGCGGAGATTTGCAATAGAGTAAGCTCTAAGGGTTCATTTAGCCGCCTTTCTTCAGACACTTTTACTTGCTTCTTTTCCTTCACAGCTTAGCCTTGGAAACCGTAGCAAAACTAGCGTTGGCGAGTCTTCGACTTTCAGCCCACACGATTCTTGACCACAGTTTGCCCACGCGACAGAAAATTTGCAATACCGTGAAACACACAATCTCTATATCAATACCTCTTAATTGTTCACGGCTTTGTGCGTAATTTAAACAATTACCAACGATAATTTGAACGTTTTAAATTGTCCAAGCCTGCCACAAACATAAATTGAATTCTGTTGCACGATCGATTTTGCTTTTAATGGAATTGAAATAAATAATTAAACTGTATCTGGGTTGAAACAATTCAGTATCCTATCTGTATCATCGTATGATGATAAAAAAGTAAGATCTTCTAAGTTTCTGTAAACACTACTTTCTAGAAGACTGTTTTATTCTTAGTGATCGTGAGTTGATAGTTCGATCGGATGTTATGTTTTTACGTAAAAGAATTTGTCTTCTTCCGGTGAACAGTGTACACAAAGTTTCAGGACAAAGAATAGGATTCCCGTGACGACAGGAAGTCGAACGTTTGTTTGATCGAACGATAGGATCCGGGCAGAAAAAGCTCTGTCAACCCTTTTCGTTCTTATCGTTTTCTCCTTGCCATCTTTTTACTTGCGTTTTACCTCCTTCACTTCTGTCGTTGTCAGTTTTACTCGTGTGTATAGCATCATAGAAAATTCATATTTTATTTTTGATAAGTCATATTGCAAGAAAAATAATTTGATAAAGAAGAAAAATAGAATTTATTATTAAATTGGAAAATTATTATTTGAACTCTTGAACTGAAATCATAGATTTATAATATTATCAAAGATCATAAATGGCCTCGTAGGTGCTATAAAAATATATTACTCACAATTGAAGAAAAGCTATGCACCTTATAACGGTAAAAGATTAATGGAAGGATTAAGATATAGTGAAACGTTAGAACGTATAATTATAAAAATTCAACCAACTGACAAAAATTAAGAGTTTAAAATGAAATAGTAATTTTCAGCATGCCTAGCTTTATAAGTGTTGTAAAGTGGCACAGTTTTAACGGTGCTTTAAATCAGGAAATCAACAGCAGAATGCAATTTCACTGCACTGATTTGATGCAGTGAAACACTATACGTTGGTAATCATGCCTTTACTATTCTCTTACGGATAATCTTGTATCACGATTGAACTTTTCTTGTTGCTTAACCAGGCTTACAATGCAGAGCGATAAATTTCATACTGCGTGTACTCCTGTAAGACACTCATTAAAGAAAGGTAGTCTCTTTCTTTGCAGGTGCGTACAGCTTGTTTCAATGATTGCGACAAGCAAACCAGTCTCGTGGAAATTATTTATTAATTTGATATTCCATGAGTGTTATTTTGTAATACTTTTCTGTCATAAATTCCTATTAGATTTTTCATGTTTCACGTATAACTGGTTATTCGAAACATTTTGACATACATATTTTATGATAAAATTCTCCATTCAGTTTAATTAGTAGAATTTCTTTTTTGCAGTGACATTCCACTAGAATTTCTATGAAATTTTATGAATGATGATATGTACTTTCACGATTTATTTAACAGCCTTGTCATTCCGAATAAAACTGATAATCCTGGCAAGTGATTCTATCTTATTGGATCGAGCCACACCTATTTTGATCATAGCGAGCACGAGTGGAAGGTAACATCAAATAGTGATTGATAACCATTTTTCTCATGATATTTATAAAATTCGTGTCATAATATATTGAGTTCATAGATAGAAATAAAACGTGTAATTTCTTTAAATTTAATTGCACTAAATGAAATATATACTTTTTCTTTTTTATCTAATAATAAGGTTTCTTTACAAGTTTTCTTCCTTCATTAATTAATAGAGAATTTAATAAGTGATAAATGCACAGGAAAGAAGCAGTCTCCTATTCGTGTTTACAGTACATTTAATTAGGCGTAACTCACCTTTTTGCAATAAACGACGTATTATTAAATGGATTCTATAATCATTTTTGCAATTAACAATATTAACAATCAGACGTAAACGATAATGTTTTCCTTTCTCGAATATCAAACATTTATTTTGTTTGATTTTCATAATCTTTGAAAGTTCTTTAAGATACATCCATCACAAAAGAGTGTAATTATGTAAATTATTTCTCATTTATGCATACGAAATGGGCTATTAAAAAGTTAATGTTGTAAATTTTCTGGAAACTTTTCATTCGGCTAATTATACAGATTATTTTTGAATAATGATAATTAATTACCATGCATATTTCATTTACTCATCGTTGTTACGCAAAAATTCATTAAACAGATAGAATGCACCGAACGGTATAAAGCAATATGGTAAAAAAATTTATTATTATCGTTAGTTCTCAATCATTACGACCGCCTCATTTCTATGTAAGCATTAGAAACTTCCTTCCTCGTTCCATATTCATTTGCATAACAGAAGTGCAACTCCGACCTCGTGCTGCCACTCCTAGCTTTTCTAGGCCTCCAAGTTTCTGCATTCTCTCCTTCTACTTGAAATTATTGGAAAAGTTGATCATCTGCAAATGTCTGTTTCGAAAACTGTGCAATCGGAATCGTTTCAAGTACAGTCCATCATTGCAAACTTAACACTTTACCAAAAGTTTATGAATAGCTTTTTTGATAATATTGATTATTGATTGAAAACCAATTAACACTAAAACTGCCAAACCAGTTAAAATGGCTTGTTTCAAGTTTCGTATTTTAATTTATGAATTTTATCGAGGTATTTTTACTGAAATGTATGTTGGCTATTGTCTAAATCAAGAATGGATATATATAATAAATTATATTTCATTCCTTACTTATTTAAGTTTCCACATTATTTTCAACTTAAAAATTAATGTGTATCAAACCTCGATAGTTCTAGTGCTAATGAACCTTCGATTATTGGAATAATACAAATTAGGTGTTCTATTAGTAAAAGAAAATTGAAAGTAAGATTTACTTCTTTTAATATTGAATTACTATTAACATTTATGATTTCTGTAATTTTATATTCCTTTTCTAATTTCTGAAGTGTAATTAATGCTAGATAACATGTAGATAAAGATAATGAGTATCCTTAAATGAGTATCCTTTAGTATATTTCTAATAAATGTACCTTGCATTTATTAATTAAATTTTTATATAATTATCCTTTCAGAAGAATGATAGACATATCTGGGTTAATCTGACTATCATTTTGAAATATATTTCACGATATTCATTCATGTAGAAGCATTCAATCAACCTAGAGAACGTTTCTATTCATACAATTTTTGTATTCTTTAGGATTATTATAAGCTATAAGAAGATAGTATAAAGTATATATAAATGCTTATCTCGGTGGCTCGTTTAGTATTACATAGCTGGATGCATTAAATATTGAAGATCTTTTAGACCAACAGCGCTCCTTTCAGTGTGTCAACGTCTTTTTGAAACGTTTTACACCGTGACTCGATTATCTGACCCACTTTCAGAATCTCTTGTACACTTCAACTGAAATTCACGTACATATTCGTAAATCCCAGGATATTTGGTTTATCGGGATAAAATTCATCTGGTCTGAGAATTTATATGTATGCATGGATTGTAGATATAATTGTGCCAGGTCGACAGAGTTTTAATTTATTAAGTCTAAGTACCATGACAGAGTCAGATTTACCTCTGTCAAAATGAGATCTGTGGTTTCTCTGTTCGAAAGTAGATGATGATATACATGGTTAGCCAAAAGTTTAGGTCCTTCTCATTCAAATTAAACTTTATGGCATAAATTTCGTAAAATTTCAAAATTTTGTAATTTTAAATTATTATTGATCAAACCTTATAGTTTCAAAATATTGTTAATGGAAATTCTTCCTTCCCATTTTCAACGAACAGTACATGAATGACCCATTTGTCTATCACATAGTAGTTTTTCTTATTAAAAAAAAAAACACCCTGTATACAAGTAGATAAATAGGTCAGTCATGTATTGTTTTCCACACAAAGGTAAGATCTCACCTTCACCTTGGAATTCCACGAGGTACCTAAAGAAATCTTCCTGGACCAACGTGTATGGCCTACGAAATGGAGCATGAAGCATCATTCAGGGTCGTCTATTTCGAAGGATGACAACTATACGTATAACAATGGTTCTGCTGATCAATAACAATGATTGGCTGGACTTCGTTGACCCCTTTAACTCGTTCACGTTTTCCAGCCTCGCCCAACTCTGTAAATCGGCCTTCTTTCTGACGAAAATACTCCTACGGTTTGTGTTTCGTGACCGTCCATCGACGTGAACATTGCTTTTATCATAATTAAACAGGGAAAAGTGTATAAACATTAATCAAATGGAGTAACGTATATAATTATCATTTTTCAAATTGATCGTAGACGAAAATTTGATTAATGTCGTCGAGATTATTTTAAAATATCGTCTCCTTTTCTTGTCAAAAATCATTTGATCTTATTCAAGGGAGTGGCACTTGAATATTTTACTAACAATAAGGTGGGAAGAAGCGTCTCGAGTGGATGGCAAGGGGCTTATGTTATTGTCAGGTGAAAGGTAGCGGAGATCATCTCGAACGAAGGTGTAACAGAAGTACCCCTCCTCGGTCGATTATTTTATGAAGCTGAAAGAATACTGTAAAAAGTCTTAACTCCTTGTCTTATGATTTCTCTAACAATTGAATTCTATGAAATTAGATTGTTACTTTTTAAATAGGTATTAACAACATTAATGAAACAGGTTGTGTATTATTGATATTTTGAAGAAATCAACATATACTTAAGATCAACTAGCACTTACTAATATCATGACTTTTTATTATTACAGGCCAAACAACGTGCCTCCGTAAAATGGCTCCTGTCGAAGGCGTACAACAACCGAGTGCCAGAAAACCTTCGTGAGCCGTATTATGTTGACCACGAGGTATGTAATCTTGCTGTTTTACGACACAGATATTACAGTCAATATTGTAATCAACAAATGAAAACTTAGCTCTTCATCAGTCTGAATTCAGCTGGTTTCACAATCAGAAGATATTTCAAGAAATGATCTAATTCTAGCTTCTATTATTGTCTTTTTTTTACTAAATACAGAAATTTACAGAAATTAAAATATTTCAAGTTCGATATTTTAAAAAAAAGTTATAACATTGTATATTATTTAGGGATCTAAGAACAGTCTAATTTATTTGTTCTAATTACTTTTGGCACGATTTTAAAACGTTAGTTGTAACAATTGAGCCAAAGAAGGCATTCCAGCATTCCATAGAAATTCGACGCAATTGTCAGTCTGTTAAAATAAACAAATCCGTATCGACTGTTATGCGACCGCATAACTGCATCTTACGTTTCGCGTGCAACCTGTGCGTGAAAACCTTGCTGTTTGTGTGGTTGATCCAGTTAAGCCAATCAAATTACCCCTCAATCCTCTGTATCCGACCTCTTTCCTAGTGCCAGTAAATCATGGACTCGCGGTAACGATGTTCCTGTCGCGTTTTATTTCTGTTCTGTCGATTCGGCCTGCGTTTAATCAGCGACCATCCCCTTCTTTTCGTCTGCTTCTCGAAAGAAATTCCACGTTCGCCGATTCACTGTATCGACACGTTCAAAAACAATTGCCCGTGTTGTGATTATCAAACTTCTGACAATTTCCTTCTTCAATGGAAGAAGTTTAACATGTTATATGTGTTACATTGAAATTTGAAGATTTGTGATAAATATTGGAAAGTGTAAGCAAAGTGTATTATAATATTTACTTATAAGAGTATTTCTTTTTAATATTTGCCAACTTCCAAGCATTGGAAACGTTACATGGCAAAGGGTTAATTAACCCTTCATTAAAAATCAATGTATATTTTAACGAAAGTTTCACATAGCTTCGAATTTTTCTCGCAGAAGGAAAAGCTCGCATAAAATCACGTAATCTCCGTCTTTAAGTCTGCAGAAAGTAATTAACAACAGCGAGGCACAGGAGCAATAAGATATCGCAATTAATTGCAAGGGAAGAATTAAACGAACCTCGGCTATAGATGGTAACGAGGAAAAATTTGCAGGATTCGCGAATAATTATCCCAGCCGCGTTAGATATCAATCTCAATTCATATCGCTTGATTAACCGACAAGAATCCTTCTTTAATTAATCGTCTATATTTTTTCTCGCGCGAGACACCGATCTTCCTTCTATACTTTTCGTTAAATTTATCTCCACCGTTCTTGAACTTTCGTTCGAATAATCGGTCGTAAAGTCTTGACTTTCCCTTTAAAGTCGAAAGTGTGTAATCTGACGGTGATTACGAGTCTCCTGGAAACAATGGAAAAGAGGCTGGCTCTTCTCCAGCGAATTGTTATCATCTTGCGGCTTTCTTCACCTGCTTGGGGTTCGAGCATCTGATAATTGATCGTTTCCACTGCTTCTTCTTCGCTTTCAATCTTCTTCTTGCTGCAATATTAGAAACAGTGATTTGTAAATACACTATTAATCAAAAGTATAGGACCATCTATTGATCAAAGCGCAAAGTGAAATTTTTAAACATCTACGAATAAATAAAAATATCTTAACCTTTCGCCGGGATACTGGGTCACTGAGTTCCAGGTGAAATTCTCATTTTTCAGGACACGCCCTCGAGTTCTTATTTTTATTACAAGAAGATTTAAACATTTCATTTAAATGTCACTCGAATTTAAATTCAAAGCTTTGATAAATATCTCACAATTTTTTCTGATTTTTTTAAAGCCTAGAATAACATAAAATCAGACCCGAAAATAATAAACGTTAGTTGAAAAAGAATATTGCCAATGGACGGTTAAATATCTAAAAATATCTGAAAATAATTTTATTTCATTTTTTCTGATGGATCGTGTAAATAAAATACAGTAAAAAGCTTCAGGGAAAAAACCGACCACTCTGAACAGTTATTTGTACAATTAAAAACAGAAAAAATTTCAAATAACATTCGCAACAATGTTTCAGTTTTACCCTTTTATTATTATTTTTTATGTATCTCATTCTGTGTATCTGTAAACCTGCAGATAGAAAAATATATCAATTGAATTTATATTTCTTGCGACCTGTATTATGGAAATGGTTTCATATTTTTGGTTGACAGCGTACAATCAAATCTTTTATCGACGCAGACTTTCTGTCTGGTGAAAATGTCTTGTCCGCAAAAGGGTTAAAACCTATCCCGGATGTTTTCTCTCGTTCCGTTGTTTCTGCTTTTACTCGCGTGTCTCCGTTTCTATTTTTTGTAGGCCGTGCCTTTTCACCTGGCCTGCTTCATGTTTATCGACTCGGGCACGAATGTTGCGACGTCAGCTGCTCGCGAAACTGGAATTGTTTTTCCGACTTTCCACCGCCCGGTTGACATCTGCAAACTCGTTTACTTTTCGGTAAAGGAAATCACGGTCCGCCTTTGAGGAAAATGACGTCTTTCGTTATGATGAAAGAAAGTCTCCTATTTATTCATTCGCATATTTTTAACCTTGTAAATCTTCGTGAATGAACTGGACGATTTTCATTGTTAGTAAATATTATTAATGAAGTGAAATTCTTCGTACAAAGTGATTGCGTAGTTCGAATTAATTGAAAAGCAACGATATTCCAGCGTAATAACTTTCTAGTTATTTAAGACGAACGATTTCCTTATTTATTGTCTGCAGATTTTTTTACGTAACGATGCTTTTCGAGCCAACTTTTTTTATGGATCAAGAGCGGATATAATGGGGCATCTTATATGCAACTGGTGGCTCATTTAAATGATCACATAACAAAATTTCGAATCATTATTACACTTCATACACTCTTTATGATTTATTATTTCATATCTTACATATATTTCTCAAATCAAATGTTTTCTGGTGCAACGAAATCAGTAACATGATTTAAGGAGAAGGTCGATGTAGGCACGTTCATATATGGTTTTAAATGAAAATCTTGAGGAAAAAATAAATAATTAAACCAGGTTGTTCGATCGCGCTCTTGCGAAGTTAGACCTACTTTGATAGCAGTTCGAGTGACCGACAAAACATCAACTTCGCCCTAATTTTTTTTTCCTACCATGGCAAAGATCGTAAAGGGAGAAACGAGTTTCCGCATTACGTTAGAGATCCGTTGCAGCTTGGCGATTTAAGTAAAGGCATCTTGGCATGCGAGATCTAGTTTTCCGACATCTAGGTAAATCGTGCCTTGAGGGGATCCTTGAAATCGCGTCTTAAAAATTCGATCATTCGTTCATCTTCTTCGAATAAATTGCCTAAACGAATCATTAGTGTTTATGCGATCCCCTCTGGATAAGATAGTTTGAAGTTTAATACAAAATTCTTCATTTAGCCTAAATTTTATTGATTTGTTTGCATAATATGGAGTATCCTATGCAGCTGGGCTCAGCTATCATTTTAAAAATGTGAAAGATAAGGAAAAATTTAATTAAGCAAAATTAAATGACGTCGAATGGAGCATCGCGTGATGTACGTGTCAGTTCCGGAAGTGGAGGCGCTTCGAAGATTTCAAGGTCTACTTTCTTCAATGAGATCTTGTATTTTTCTAAACGGTATCAGATGCATTTTGTTATTCTCTACAAAAAAATGTTAAGGTATTTGAGCCGAAAATTAATTAATTTAGAAGATACCTTAGGGAAAAACTGCAGGAAATAACAAAATGTATCCAATCACACAATCTTTTTACAGTTATAGTTTACCTTAGCGGGACACCCTGCATAATGATTTTTTCTTCTCGATCCATGGTAAATTTTGCGATCGTTCATAGTGTCGCGTGTATTTCCGTTACCACGGTGCATCGTCTCGAGTTCTTCGCGTTTCCGTGCCCCACACCGGAAATTACGGAATACTAATATTTGCTCGTTGCGTCTGCCGGATATTCTTATGCGGTTGCGGCCAACCTATGCTCCATGGGTATTGTGTTTCAAACTGCCTCTGCGGACAGATCAGTTTTGACATAATCTGATTTCCCCAGGCAAAAAGGTTGCTTTCTCTGTCAAGAGCTTCATTTTTATATATCATATACTTGCGATAAAAGATATTGCTATTGGAGACATAAACTGATCGTGTTACTTATCTCAGTTATTCTCGTTTAGTTGAAAGATATTGGTATATTTGGAATTTTTTCAGATATTTTTAATATTTAACAAAGTGTTTGTAACTGAATTTACCACCAAGTGTTAAATATTTGGAATTTTTCAAGTGTTCAATAAAAAAGAAATTATCATTCATATTGACCGTGTGTTTGAATTTTTAACGAATGTAAATTTCTTTTTAAAGGATCAAGAACACCTGAAGCCGCAGATCGTCCACGCACTTTCCAATGCAGAGCTCTACTGTTTGGCATTGGCAAATATCTATTCAGATCCAAATTATCATAATCAGAATCATTGCGGTATTCTGCAAGCTCTTGCCAGAAAGGGTGTTTACCTTGCGGAGCCAAACAATACTCAACTCACCGAAACGATCCTCATTCAAAATTCACCACTCAAAATGGTAAGATTAACATCGTGTTTAATACTAAAAGAAACATCTACTTCTTCTCTACTTAAGTTGGTGTACGCGTTACAGTCCGCGCATATGGCTGTGATAGAGGGCCTGATGGTCCTGTACGCGAAGGAAGTAGTGACAGGAGATCGAGTGGTGTCGGCGATTCGACGGTTCGATCCCCAGGCCGATGTGGACGTTCCAACGGACCACGAGAAGGGTCTTCTCCTTTGGATAAGCCACGCGTCGCACGCGTTGATCGCGAAAATTCAAACGGAGGAGGGTGCCGGTGACAAAACCCGACTGCCAGAGTTGCCAGCTGCCAAGGACTTCCAATCGTTGTGCGACGGTGTAGGCCTAGCCGCCGTCGTCGCCTTTTATTGTCCCGGCGAATTGAATTGGATGGAGATCCGAGTGTCGAAGAGACCATCGATCGCGGACGCGTTGCACAATTTATCCTTGGTCCACGCGTTTTGTAACAGATGTCTACCGTATTCCATTTTTCATATGCAACCCGAAGACGTGACGTATATGAGGGGGTAAGAAACTGAAGAAGAGAACGTTTAACATTGTTACACTTAACCCTTTGACTGCGATACCGCGCGATATTCGCATGTCAGCCGCTGTGACTGGTCGTTGCACATTGTTATGTTTATTGACCAAAGTACACATTCAACTAATTAGAATAAACTTAGAGGAGAGGATGTATACTGTATACATATACATGCCTTTCGTAGTCAAAGGGTCAGTACTGTTTGAGGTTTCTGAGTGTATGCTGTATCTGGAAGGAAATTGTTATTAATGTTTAGGAATGAAGAAGTTACACCTAGAAAACTCAAACATTATTAAATATGACAGCTTATCATACATAATCCAATCTAGTGATGAGTGCTTATATAATCGTTTCTTTGTAAGGCAAAGATAAAGCTCCGAAGAAATTTCATAAAATTTGTTAATCATTCAAGAATGATTCTTGAATATTACAATGAGTCACGGTGTTGCTGTATGTTCAAAGTTTTCTCTAATTGAGCATCTTATTTCTGTGATCAGGTCAATGAAGCAAAACTTAGTCGTTTTCCTGGCGGACATGTACAACGTTCTGGAGATACATCCCGCGAAATGCGTTCGTTATCCGGGCGAGGAGAGGGCGATGCAGTTCTTAGATGGTACGTAGATCAATGAAAAGAAATTTGAATGAAAATTCTTAATTAATAAGTATATTTGGAGAGATTTGTTCGACACTATGAACGCACCCTTTGATCAGGAAGGGCTGATGAATATTTTGGTATCCATGGATTAATGTGATTGGTGAAGGCTGCGTACATTCTTGTATTGGACTTACCCGTTCTATAATTTATTTTTACTTTATACTTTATTTCCATGGAATCCCGTTTCTACTGCGGCCAATCTAATCTCTCTGTTCCCTGTTAAGCCTTATCCGCAAAGAATGTTCTTTATCTGATTGCTTAACCAGAAAATTATCAAAATGAAACGTAAGAAGCATTGGCTGCGGTTGGAACGGTATATCACGCTTTTTATCAGTGTCAGTACACACACTCGTTCCCAGTCTCGAGATCCAGGTCCTTCTAGCAGCGACTAACGATACGCGTAACTACTCTACTTTCTTCTTAAAAAAAAGAAAAAAACAAATGAAATGTTTGATTAAGAAAAGGTGAAGAGAAAAAAAAAACTGAAAAAGAGCAGCAACGATACTCCAAGTAAAATAATGTAATCACTATAATGTAAAACTGTAATATTTCCATATATTTCTATGGCGTAACCTTCTTGATGCTTGACAACCAACGCTATCCTCGCCTTCTTCTTTCGTCAACTTCCGGTTGCCAATGAACGAATACGGTGCCGGTGACGGGTGCAGCCTGCCCGCGCAATAGTCATGGCGTAGCTCATAAAAGAAGTCTACCACAGTCTATAGCTCCGATACCTGATCTGAGAAGCAACCTCTCCGTATCCGCGCCAGGCTTCACAGGTACCCATAACGTTACCAAACAACCAAATCATGAAACTAGGTGGTCTTCTCTTGTGAATCGCGTTTAATCGCCGACATGACGTGTTGATTTTTTGTAGAAGCGTTCACTGATATTTAACAAATAAATAAAATACATCGTTCAGGTCTTCCGAGGGAACAACTACCTCTCGAGTTTGTTCGTTCGTTCCTCGATGTGTGTTCTTTCTTTTGGCTCTTTCTTCTTCTTCTTCTTTTTTTTTAAATTTATTTTTGATTTATAGTTTCTTGGTTTTCCTAGCTGTTTCAGGCCATTAGATTTTAAATGCCATACATTTTACTATGCCGTAGAATTGGTATTGCTGTATTTTTCAGCATTTAGAGAGAAGAATAATAAAACATGTGTTGTGCATTTAAAAAGTGGCCCCCTGTTTAGATTATCTGTGTAACAAGAGGCAGAAACTATTAGGCGTACCGCTTCTTTACTAACAATCTTATTTGCTCGATATTCAACACCATGGCACGTAACTGATCCTCCGAACAAGAATGCATGCACGTTTTTGCGATAAACCGTTACTTAACTTATTAAACATTCAGTTGCTGCTTGCGTTGTCGTTCGCTTTCCTTTTATTTCCATCATTTTGCATGTTTACCTTTTTGTCATGTGTCGTTGAGCGATAAGGGGAGAAGTCTGGACGATTCATTAATATATCCACTCCATATTGAGTTAGTATACTTGTTTTGCAACGTACATTATCTATGTTATCGCGTGTTTTGTTCATTTGTGTTTTGTGTGTCTCCACAGTGAATCATTTTGTTCTCCTTTTTTATTTTTTTTTATAAAATTTTTTATTTTGAATGGGTCACCGATTCGTGACAACAATTAGAAACACTAGAGATTAGTTTGTGTACCATTAACCCTTTGGTGTATTAATTTTTTTTAGACTCAATTGATCCCTAGTTGAAATTGGAACATTGTATTTTTCAAATTCTAGCTGAGATTTAAATTCAAATTTATTTCATGTTATAAGACAAAGGGTTAATGAATTTTTTTTTGCTCACCAGACGAGTGTATTTTATCACAATGTGTAACACTAGCTTTCGTACCATAGATTTTGATCCTCGAAACTCGAGCGCATTGAATTTGTAATACAATTTTGTAAGTGGTAAATTTTTGTGTGGCGCACAAGTTTCCTTCGGTGCTTCACGATGCAAAGTTTGCACCGATGGATAGGATCCTTCTGAACTTTTACCGTTTCACGCGTCAAAATAATTGCTGACTTAGATATTGACACTATCCTCTGTACGTAGATAGACAATCAATACAGCATTGAATTGTTTTCTAGTTGCGAAAGCACCCTCGTCCTCCTCTGTCAAGAAGTCGCAATCGTTGCAACAAACTGCCGAGAATTATTCTCACGATGACAGGTACAGTTTCATATCATATTTAAATACTTGAGATCCTTATAAAGACATAACGAGAGTAGTTAGTTAAAAGACGAATAAACTTCTCACGTGTCACAGAATGATCTCGAGTAACCCTTGTATTTCACTAATTTTGTTCACGTTGCAGACGAGCGGGAAGCGAAGAAAGTTTCGTAGTCCATCGGGGTAAAGGCATTCCTACGTTAAGCTCCGTAGCTGATGAGAAATCTGTAACTAGAGCAGACGCCGCTGGTCGGCCGAGCAACTGGGAAGATCAGAGGAGAAGCTCTTATGCTGGCCGTCGATCCAGACGTAACAGCGTCTCGGATGATTCTCAGTTGACCATCGAGAACTTTGGTGGATCTCAGGTATTCAGAGCAAAGCGTGTTGCAATAAAAAAATGAAGGAATTAGTCGAGTGATAACGTCTGTCTGTGCAGGATAACTTACATAACTTCGGTAGAAATCCGGACAAAGAGGTCGGAGCTCACATAGGAAAACGTAGCACCACAGAGCCCACGTTACCCGCAAGATCCAGCGTTCAGGATGTATACGGTAGCGGTGTTCAGCACATACTTTCTGATAATGGATACGGGAACGAAGAACCAGCGAAACTGAGAAGGCAAACTTCCAACTCCAGCTTGGACAACGTCGCGCTCAAGCAGATTTTACATTCCAGTGATAACGATAATTCGGAAGGAGACACGTCCAAGTTGGCGAGCTTCGCGAATCTAAGTAGACAAAGCTCGGATAAGGGGATCAATCTGACGTATACGGAACAGGAACGCGAGGATATCACATCAAAATCGAATCTTTCGAACAAAAAACACGGCCAAACGAACGGTAACGGGAATGGGGAAAAGAAAACGACGTTTGCCACCTTACCAAACACAACGACATGGCAACAGCAGAGTAATCAACAGTCTCAGCAGGCGGAACAACACTCTGTTGGTATGTATTTGTTGGTCGATGAATGTAGATTGTAGAGTTGAAATGAGGATGAACGATGATACTGACCGGCTAAATGAAATTCGTACGAGCAGATGAAAACGGTGGTAACACGATTATGGCATCGCAACTGAATAACATTAGATTGAAGCTGGAGGAGAAACGGCGTCACATAGAGAACGAGAAGAGGAGAATGGAGGTTGTCATGTCGAAACAACGTCAAAAAGTGGGGAAAGCTGCGTTCTTGCAAGCTGTCACCAAGGTAAAACCCGCGATTATGTTCACACTGACGATTACGAAGCTCGCGTTCTCCATTTTGGACCTCATGATCGAGTTTCAGCCAGACCACTATCATGGCCTTTTTAATGATTTGTTTCCTTCATTGATACTTGACAGAAAAGTATAACTTAATATTATGAGGATTTTAGTTTAATTAAAATGAAACAGAACATTGAATACAGCCATGAGGTACTTGAAGTTTAGCTACGGGTGTTTAGTATAGAGCAATGCATAAATTGTAAGTTGAACACTAAACGGTTTCTTTTTCTTCTGCAACAAAATTTTCTTTAGATTCTGAAGCAGTTGAACATTTTATTGTATATTTGCATACATATTTTATTTGATTTCATACCTGGCTGTATTACTACATTCGATTATTTTGAAGTAGCGTGCAAGCGTGCTTGCAATAATAATCCTTTATTTCAGGTAAATGCAGCATATTTTTTCAATACTTATTTTTTTTTTTTTCTAATATCTATTCTTATATATTGTTAGCTTCTCAAGTAATGAATTTGTGTGTAGTTGCAAATGCGACATAATCTTGATGCCTAATTATGGTTCATGCAAATAATCTTTATTGCCAGCTGTATACTATTGTAATACTTTCTCTTTCTAATCTTTCAGCTGTACTTGGTGGTAAGTGCATGCTGATGCAATAAAATTATATTATAAAATTAAATAATTATATATAGACTACACACTTGATACAATAATATAGGCTATCAGAGTTCATTGAATGCCATTCTGATTTTTCTGTTTCCATATACAAAATCTTCCTATTATTAACATAAATATGGATGTACATTAAACAAAAAGCAATGTTTAAATTAATGCGGTGGTGGTATGCATGCTGTACTTACTCTTTAGTAGTTTCTTACCAACAAAGTTACATTCAACTTAACTTGTTTACATTATTCAATAATCAAGATAGAAAAAGTTCTTGATATAGATAATACTATAATAGATAGTTCATAGTAAAGGATTTATTGCATTGAGGAAGTTAGTTAATAACAATGAAAGCACCTTAGTTCCTTACCAAAAGATTTAAACAACCAGATAGAAAGTCGTACTTTCATTGATGTTGAAGATATGCAGTATGGAAATTCTTGAAAAGTTCTGAAATGGTGCAATAGCGAATAAAGCCATTGGCAATGAAGTATTTGCAATTCTTTGAACTGGCTTTGGCATTTAGTGCTTGAATGTAACATACATTTCACTGTGGAGAACTCCGACCATGGTGTGGTGGTTGGTGACATATAGGACTCGCCATATGCGGACTCCAAGTACTTAACAAGGCACGGTGCTTGGGCTGGTTGCAGGGTAAGGTTAAATCTCCTTCTTCGTCAACGTCTGGGGGGGACAGTCCGGCTGAAATTGGTCCCCCCACTCCTGTAACCTCCGGATCTTCGGGGGATACCCCGACAAGTGTTTCCGAGACGACCCTCGTAACCCAACAACCCTCTCAAGAAAAACCACAGAGACCCTTCTCGCTCAAGGTACGATATTTTAACAGAATGTTCAATGCAGATGAACATTTGAAAGCAATACACTTGCTGATTCGCTGATTTGTTTAGATTTACATACATACATGCTTATGTATGGCTTTTAAGTATTCGTTAACTCTCTTTTGTACCTATTAGTATTTCTGCTTCGAAGAACACAGTAAAAGATTTTGAATATTTATTCTTAATTATATTAATACATAAAAATATGTAAAGAGTAGTAATAATGTGCTATAGTGTGCTGCAAGTAAGATAGACAGTGTGCTTAATATAATTTCTTATTAAAGGATAGTTTTATTTGAGTTCTTAACAACAGATAATCATTTTGCTTCTTGTCGCTTATATTTAGTCATAGAGGAAAACGAAACAGTCCCAATGCATTCTGTGGTCTTTAAAATGAATTTGATATTCTGCTCCCACATTTCAATGCAGTTTGTACAATATCGCTCTCGGAACGCATGGTACAGTACTAAACACTCTCTGGATCAGAAATGTGTTTGGAAGTTGATTTACAGTTGTTGTTCGTGGTGGTGGTACTTTACTCTTGTATTCTATTTTTCATTCTTTGGCACAAAAATCTTAACAATACCAATTTTACATTGGAATAATATGTACTGTATGTATGAATACATTGGATTGATTTAATGTTATATATGTATTTTTAACTGAGTAGTTAATGGTAGCAATTAATCTGTATTAACTGTAATCCTACCTGCTACTTTGACTAAAAATGATAAAAATGGCAATTCTAGTATTTGCAGTTATTAATTAAACAAGTATATAAAAATAAGGTTTATAAATTATCTCTAAATTTCTGATTATCAAACATATAAGATATCCAAATTAAATAATCATCTGAATACTATTTTTATTTCTCACTTACATTAAACTCCCATCCCTCTATACATTGTACATCCACAGGTAAACTATGTATGTTTAATAGAGATATTTGTACACACATTAACAAAATTTAATATCCTTTCAATATAAAATATACATGTGTAGGAATAATTTAATAAAATTTCAATAACACAAATTTGCCTGTAGGTGTATGCCATACCAATAGTATCAATGGAAATTCTATTTACATCCTTTAAATAATCTTTTCATATTTATACCAATCACTATAGGAAATTAGCGAAGATGTTCGGGATGTTGAACACAAATGGTTGGAACATGATGGTAGTGCACCATTTATTGAAACAAGACGTACTCCAGATATTGAGAATATGGATCTTGAGCAATATCATCAATCAATCTCACAGTCAGTATTTATAGTCATTTGATAGAACATTTGTATAAATGTTCAATTTTGTGGCCTTTTTTGAATAGACATACACTTTTTCACAGAATGAATAACAGCCTTAGTGAAATACAAGCTGATATACAACGTTTAGCAAATCAACAGAACCAGATACAACAGCAACATTTAATGACCCAACATCAACAACAAATGCAACAGCAGCTGCAACAGTTACAAAGTCTTAGTCAGCAACATTTGCAGGTATGTATTATTTTCCACCAATATTTTTTTGCTTTGATTTTATTATTTTCTAATGTCTATATCTTCTTTCTGGTTCTTTAGAGTTTTGGAATAGCACCAATAAATCCATTAACATCTAAACTTCAAGATTCTCAACAGCAATCTCAGTTCTACTTACATGATCAACCACAGCTGCAAAGACGAATGTGGGGTCAACCACCTCCTACTCAAAGTTTAGCAAATGAAATGGCTGCGGTTGGTTACCAGCAACCTATGGATCCACGATACGGCACTCAACCAACAAGTACATATATTATGGATCAATTGATTAAACAAAGTTTAGATAAAAATAAACTTTTAGGAATTTATAATTTACTTTACGTCACAAAATCTATAGCTTATCAACAAGATATGCGCTTATATCAAGATACACGAAATTGGGGAACCCATCCACCTCAACAGAAAGGATTTGTTTTGCACGATACTCCTCAGGAACCAAGGTACCTTAACGGTGGGGATCATAGTCTTTGTAATAATCAAATGAGTCACCCTGGTTCTACATATCCATCATCTGCATCTATCTTCAATCAAACTCCACCATCTTCTGCTAGTCCACAACATCGTAATGCTGTGAGTAACTTACTTACGTCCATTGTTGTTTAAAAAACAATAAAATATATCACTAAATTTAACAAATCTAGCTTATAAAATTTCATTTTACTTAGATTAATTATATTCGTAATGAAACATAAAGAGGGAATGAAAAATATTTGAAATGAAATGAAATTTATTTGTTCGAATTGTATGATGTTTCATTTTTTTTTTTGATCAGTTGCATAGCACATGAGTTGCTTCATATATATAAGTAAGCAGCAGTCAAGGAACCAGTTAGTGATGTAATGCACATTTATAGATACTCTTTAACACTTAGTATGGCAGATGTTCCTCGTACCGAAGTTTCAACGTTCAGACACTTGTATTTTCTAGTGAAATTATCTGTTTTATTTCGAATTATATTTAAAGATATTAACAAAATGCACCTTTTTTATTCGTCAACTATTAGTAATTCATATAATTACCATTATGAGGTTTGTTATAATTTGGCATAGTGATGTGTATATTATCAAGGAACTTTTCAATACAATTAAATAACAAAAATTCTAATGCTCTTTGGGGACACGAGATGGTAAAATGAATTTTTCTATTATTTATTTCAAATAGGTTCATCGAATAAGTCAGTTAATGAGTGAAAGTCCTGAACCAAAAAGGCCAACTGTGCATCATATACCAATTAAGTGTGAAAGTCCTACAGAAAAGAGGCAAGTTACTGCGTTACATGCCCCCGTTCCAGCTCCGCCCGTTGATGACATGAAACCTCAAAATATATCATTTATCGGTAAGCATATTTCTATCCATTGACTATGTGACATCATGTGTAACGCTCGGAAAACCTTCATCGAATTCATATTTTTTTATTTATTCATTCTTTTGTTATGTTTGTTATGTTTATTTATTGATATATTTTAAAGGAAATGATGATGAGCTTACACAAGGTATAAGAGGTTTACACATTACGTCTGGCAGCCGTACATATAGAATTCCATCACCAACTAGACCTTCGATATCACGTAATTCATTTCAACCTCACCCATCATTAAGAGAAGCCACACCATCCCCATCAGGTACGCCAGAGGTGACACCTCTCGATCCAACGGATGCTGGTGAAAAAGGATTTTACATTTGCTTCGATAACGATGCACCGAAAAAACCAAAACCAACTCTTAGAGTGAAAAGAACATCACCTAAAAAGGTAAATGCATTATTATAAAAGGAGGTACAAAGGATATTACTACAGTTAAACTTTTTAATATCTTCTTCAGGAAAGAAGCGTATCGTCTTATGTTGATAATGAAGACTTTATGGTACGTCCTGAATCTCCATCTGTGAGTGCTGTTGATAGGCAACAGAAACAACTGGAAACTCATCGAGATTTCGATCGGGAAAAGCAACGTCAAGCGGATGAAAGGGAATTTCAGCGACAAGAAATGCGAGATAGGGAATTACAAAGAGAAGTGGAAAGAGAAAAACAAAGAGAACGACGTGAGACTAGTGCGGAAGGTCGACAATCTGGAGTTGGCTTGATAATCGGAAATCAACTTGCAAATCCTGATCCAGTACGTTTCCGCAATGAATGTCATAAACATGATCAATTTTAATTTAACTACTTTACTTTTGTAGAATTCTTTGGATGAAATGGAGCGAAAGAAGGAACGTATAATGTTGCTGTCACTACAAAGAAGACAACAACAAGAAGAAATGAAAGAGAGAAAAGAGGCAGAAGCTCAAGCGCGTCGAGAACAAGAGAAATTAAAAGCAGAGGAGAGAGCTCGTAAAAAGGAAGAGGAAAGGCAACGAAGAGCGGCTATTTTAGAACAGCATAAAGTAAAGAAGGCGATAGAAGAAGCGGAAAGAGAAGTGCGTGTTCTTTCTAACATTAACGTCAATGTTTTTCTTCATTAGCTGCTCAATGTCATTATTGCTATTTAGGGAAAAGTAATCGATAAAGAGCTTCTAAATGCAATAAAACCAACAAAATTGCGTAATAAGACTGCTACAACCCGACCACGGCCCAAGACAATTCATGTGGATGCTGGTGCGGATTTGGATTCTGGAGCTCTCACGCCTAGTCGAGGGAAAAAGGGTTCTTCTTCTAATTTAAGTACAGGTACGCGAATGGACATAACATGGTTCAGTAGTGTAAGTAGTGTGATCAGTATTTCTTGGAGATCAATCGTACAAACATAAACGTAAATTATGTAGCATATATGTAGTTGAAATAATTCATGTTTACATGACATAGTTCAGTATATGTTTATCTCCAAGATAACAGTTACCACTGCTACCATAAAGAGTGTTATTCCTTTGTTATAATCTTCTAATATAGTTTCTCAATGTTGTAATGTAATTGCATTTATTCTTTGCATGGCGAAGATTCGAGTCAAGAAAGTTTTATTTTTCTTTAGTAACCGCCGTCTTTTTCCATATTGATTTTTTATTGTAATTGTTTTCTTTTTTGTTTTGTTTAATAAGATTTCACCCAGTTCACAAATCACACGCTCCAAATTTTCTCGGCTATTGCTAGTTTATCAAGTCGATTCATTTGAAACGAGAATGTCAACGAACAACAATTGACCTCGTACATATCCTAGACTCATTCGACTAAACTAGAATAGTGAAGAAAATTCGAGCTGATTGTTTTGCACTAACACACTTACTGTAGCGTCGCTGACCTCCCCGACGATGAGGCGAGACTACTACCGAGGTTCGCAGGACAGTCTCACTGCTGCCCATTTCGATGAACGACGTTCCGGCCCTCTTTATCGGGGCGGCAGTCTCAGGGGTATGCACAACACACACTCTCTGACTCGCATTTCTATCTGAAACATCACATATATGTTAGCTTTTGACATAAGAAGAACGTGTACGAAAAGCTAAATGAAGAAAAGAAAAAAAAACGATCAAATTAAGATGTGAAATATCCTGTGATAATCAACATTCATGGATTGAAATTTTTGGCTTATAGTTTTGCTGCTTAATGTTTAACCCTTTCGTTACTTAGGGTGTTTATAACTATTCAGTACATATAAAAGAATATACTAAAATAAATTATTATTACATGGTAAGTCAAAAGAATTTAAATATTGCCTTAGCGGAAGGGTTAATAACAATAACGTTAAAATTAAATTCATAAATAAAGAATAATACGTTATACTAAAGATATTAGCTAAATTGGAAAATACTTGGTCGTGTATTGTATTTAATTATTTTCATCAAAATTAATAAGTTTCATTATATGAATGATCTATCATAGCACTTTTTCTTTTTGTATTTTGCATGCATCGATTAATTTATTAAACTATCTGTTAATTAGTGTAATGTTGTAGCTATAGATATTTAAAACATAATAGTATCTAGTATCGTCCTGGAGAAGAACTAACTGATTGTAATAGAGGTACCCTATTTTAGTATCTTCCGTAGATTCACCCGACGACGGTAGAGGTTCTTCCCCTTGCCGAAGTATGAATCAACTTGGTCGACGTGGTTCCTACAAAACGTCCAGAGGTGGGTTCATTAATTATTACGTAGTAAGAATGCCGTATCATGTTCCTTAAACGTTTGGCTTGATGAAAGTAGACTCGTTGCAGGATGTATCACTGGTATGGGCAGCTACTGTATCCAATCTTACAGTTGTTGAATATTTCATTAGTGTTTGATTATCCTTCAGATTAATCTAAGTAAGGTTTACTTAAGGGTATATCACTTTATTTTTTATAAGTAGCGCCTTTTTATAGTAGATTCTTTCAGTTGGAACGCAACATTGTTTCTGCACCAACCTGCACCAGCTACCTTGAGTTTTTGATGTTCCTAATGGACATGGCTCGTAGTTAGACTCTGCCCCCTGATGCAATGACGTACGATTGAAGCATCCCCTACTATTTAATCTTTGATCGTACATAGCGTTTGGAATGTAACAAGGTAAACATTGCATTATTGCAGATGTGCAGGAGCCTCAGCAACAGGTTAGAGGCAGGCCTAAATACCCGAGTTACCAAAACTTTAAGGGGAGAAAGTCTAATTCCTTGATGAATTTGTGTGGTAAGAAGCACCAGTGACTTGGAATACGTTTAATTCCCCCTTCTATCGTGCAACAGTATTTTTACGTGTCAAGTACACCGTTCCAATTTATTGTAGGCTATAATAGCATTCACGTAGTCGCATGACAGCAGATCGGAGGCACAGGTGGCAGTGAAACTTATACTTACACGCATACACCAACAGCACATTATTATCTATGTATTCAAAATTCCGTCTGTCCGCGTTTACTTGACATTAACTTGAAATACATATATATAAATAAAACAGTATCCAGTATGTTTTACATTTGTCTATGAAAAACAGATGGAATTTTGATTCTCATTCACAGGATAACTCATTTGCTGCAGTAGATAAGATTAAATTGATGCTTGTTGGGCTTATTGTTGTACAGCACTGGTTTGTGGGTACGGATACTTTTCAGTGTATTTTTCAGATTATTGTTGGTGGTTCCAGTTTCCATTTTAATAACCTTTCACTCTGACTCACATTTAGGTCCTGTATCATATGGTTATCCTATCACTTATGTTGGATATGTATTTTTTCTGTCGCTCCTTTCTCTTTTTATTTCCAGGTATTATGGTAATTAAGCATAACAAGTTCATACATAATCTTTCTACTCCTCGATACATCTCTGAAATATTATCAATATAAAATATTAATATCTAATTAATGAATAGTATGATAGAATGAACTTGGTACGCTTTATTTGTTCGCCTATCGATCACAGAATTGTCGCATAGCAGTCATATGTTTCATTACAAGCAAATTTGTCCAATATCTCGCGTGTTACAAAGTCTTTAGATAAGAATAGAGTCCGGTGTAAATTATTGTCAAAATTCCTGATAAATAGTTCCTTATTAGATCGAGTTAGAAACAACATCCTCTGTTTTGTAACAATATAGATGAATAAATAGAATCAGAGAGTCTTGATCCTTGTTCGTGCAATATCAATTTATGTTAAGGGTGAACATTTTATATTGGACGCAAGCTATGAAGATGGATATTCTTGAAGGTCCTTTGTAAGTCTAACAAGTGACTAATATTTCTCGGTATATATGAGGAACTAACCGTTAGTAATTAATATGAGAAACAAAGATTACCTCAATTAAATTTATTCTTGCTTTTGGATGGGTAAACGTGTTATCGTCGACTGACCCGTTGAAGATTGTATCTCTTGTCCTTTGTCGTGAACGGACACGTACGTTCGAAACTTTTCTTTTTTATTTCTATCTTCATATTACTGAGCTTGCGTTCGCAGGTCCGAGTAGTGATCAAGACGGTATGATGTGTCGATACACAGATACGGACAGCGGCCTGGGCAGAGCAACACCACCGAGAAGAGCACCGAGTCCTGGCATGGGTAGCATGAGGCATCTTCCATCACCATCGGGTCCTGGCTCTCTACCTCCTGGTTTGATGACTAAGAGACGAGTGTTTGATGATGGTAGCAGTGACATCAGTAGCACGCCAAGTTCAATGATGGACTACAATGGTGAGTAAACTCCAATCTTGAACTCTTGTAAAATGGGTGATATAGAATTATAGAACGTTTATTAAATAAGTTATAGAATTTTAACAATAGCTCATTTTCAACAGGTCCAAGGCTGTACAAACAGCCAACGACTAAGTCGAATCGTGGAATAATGTTGAACGCCGTGGAATACTGTGTATTTCCTGGTACGGTAAACAAAGAAGCGAAAAGAAGAGTTTTAGACGAGATTGCAAGATCGGAAAGCAAGCACTTCCTTATTTTATTTCGAGATGCTGGCTGCCAATTCCGGGCTCTTTATTCGTACTGCCCTGATAGAGAAGAAGTATCTAAATTGTACGGTACTGGACCGAAACAAGTTACTGATAAAATGTTCGACAAATTTTTCAAGTAAGTCTATCATTTTCCTATTTTTCTTTTTACTGTGTATACACATATATCACAAGGTAATTGCTTATTTACTACAAAGTTTTATATTAAATGATAGAACAGATTTTAGAAATTCATTTTTTGACTATTAATGTTAGTTTCAATTTTAATATTATATGTGCGTATAGTAGGTGCTTATATGTGTGAAATAGATAGTTAAATTTAGAAAAGAAACTACATGTATAATAATTACCGAGATTAACAAGTTTTATGTAAAATATAAGTACATACTTTGAATCAAAAACCCTGGAGAACGTATAATTGTAAATGTAATTTACAATATAAATGTATTTATTTGATTGTAGATACAATTCGGGAGGAAAATGCTTTTCACAAGTTCACACGAAGCATCTGACCGTAACCATAGATGCCTTTACGATACACAATAGCCTTTGGCAGGGCAAGAAGGTGAATTTGCCGAACAAGAAAGACATGCCTCTCGTCATATAGTTTTACACAAGTGTCACACTTAACATTAATGCTACTATACCCTCTGTTGTTCATAGTTACTATTTTAATACAGGCCCATATTAAATTAATGCAAACGTTGCGTTCTTAGTCAATTTTATAAAAGGCAAATGATTGATGCTGATTCGTACAGAGACGAATGTGCAATCTTCATTCGAGCGTTTGCGCGATTGCACGCTATACTTAAACGGCGTATTGTTACCCTAATTACATCATTTCTTTTTGTCATTTGTTCTCTTTTTGTTTTTTTTGTTTTGTTTTATTTCGTTTGTAAGTTAACATTGGCATCAATCACTGTGTCGTAAGATTTACCAATTATCTATTAATAGGAATGGTTTGTTGTCAGTATCTAATACCTTTGCGGACTAACTTTCGACTTGTAAGCTGCTGTGTTGTAAATGAAACATGTGACTGATGTTGAAAAGGTATTAATTTTTTTTTTCTTTTAATAATCGTTTTCTTCGCTAAGAGAGGCAGGGCTTTCATAAATGTCATGTAAAACGAATGTTTTGTCTTTGTATTGCATAAAGTAATTCGCACATGTTTCCTCGTTACGCGTTAATTAAAAATTCTTAATTGTCATTATTCTTATTCTTCATATTATTATAATAGCACTTTTACAGATTGCTAAACATAAATGGAGGATCATTAATTTGAATCTATTTACTGACAAAAATTTTCAATGTAATCTTTCTATTTAGTATTTAAAAAACCGGAACAATAAGTGCTTTTTTTGTACAATATTGAGCACGGTAGGTCTCCCTAGAGAAGGTCAGAAACCCGACAACCCGTGGGGCCTATGGGGAATGGGAGGCATCGTCATTTTCTTTGGGGAATCCTGCCATGTTCGGTACTGTACAAAAGCTGAGTTTTTATTATTATGAGTTTAATGTGAAAATGGTTTTTATCAAATGATTTAGACCTTTAACTGGGCCAGGTTTTAAATTTTCATTCTCTCGTGTCTAATAAAACAAAAATTAATAATATCGTATATTTTTCTTCGAATTAAAGTATAATAATATTGTTTAAATACATAGTCTTTCAGTGTTTTGTCCAAAATTTCTTCGTTCGTTATGTCTTTACAAAATTTCTTTCTTTTGCATGCACCTTTGTCATCTTTTAAACCGAATTAATGATTCCTCATTAAGTATTGAGATTTGCAGCTGTTGACGGTTGCAGCAACGTTCGTAGGTGTAATTCATTCTTTAACCAGAAGCGTGTAAGAACCAGCTCACGGACTAAAAAGTAAAAATTGTGGATTTGTAAATAAATAAGTTGATTCTGATTAGTGAAAGAGAATACCAAATCAGCCTTAAGATCGATCTGAATGCAATCGATGATGTGCAAGGATTTCCTTTACGGTGTAGGTAACACACTATAATTTATATAATGTCGCATTGATTTTTAAATTCTAAAGCGAATTTTGTGAAGTGTGTTAGGTATATAGTGTCCTAGTAAAAGTAAGAAAAATACTGTTGTACAAACATTGGCTCAATTATGTTTCATTAAAAAGTTATAATGAAAATATGGAATGACAAGGGACTTGTTCTTCATAAATAAAGTTCTACCCCATTACAATTTCTTAACAAAACATAAGCTTATGTTTATGCAACATTCTTTTTCTTATTTCTATTTGTAAAACATATTGGGACACAGGGGAGAGTATGAAAACCTGTACCAAAAGTAAATTCGTTCTCTAAGAAGAATTTTGGTAATTGATAAGTGTTATTCATGTGTGAAAAATGGCTAAAGAAACTGAGATTTTCGATCGTGTGCTCTCTTATTTCTTCTATTATACTTTCTTACGCGCAATGTATACTTATTTTGTATGATCTATCAGATAGTATGAACTCCAGAATTTTGTAAGAGGAAGGCAGAGAATGGCAAAAAGTACCCATAACAACAAACTCGATGCGTGCACAGATTTTGAAAGAAATTTCATATTTATTTGAATTTCCTAGGCCTAAACGATTTTTAATACAACAGCCCATAGTCTGCGTTTCTCGTGAACGAGTTAACAATTTATTTATAAACATCGTAGCGTATGGAAAATTTTAACGAAGCGGATTAAAGTTTAAATCGTTCGTGAGTTGATTGATCGTCCCTTTTTACGAGTTTTATCGACATTATACAGGGTGTTTCAAAGAAAATACTTAAAATTTTTCAACTTTGATTCGATTACATTTAAAATAGCCAATGAAGCTAACTTTCAATCTAAATTTTTTATTCTGTTTTTTTCTTATTTAGAAACGCTCTGTATGTATCCTTTGTTCTCCAGCTGGCAATTGTTCTCTTTATTTAGTATGGTTTGTGTCATTTCCTAATGGAACGTGTCAGTCCAATTTCCAGCGAAACGTAACACGCGCCTCTCGTATTGTACATGATGACTAATTAGCATAATAATGTTAACGGGAAGAACTATTTATTGTGCCATAAATTACAATGTCCGCCTTTCGTGTGGGACTGGCACTGACCCTTCCACTTCGACGATTCAATTTTTCTTTCTTTTTCTGTTTCTTTTTTTTAACGCGTATTACAGCAATTCGTTTATCGTAATATACCGATAGAAGGAATGAATAGAAAATAGATAGAGATATAAAATACGATTTTGTACAGAATTATGGAGGGTCTATATTCAATTAAAGAATTTTCCTTTCGTTTTTGCTTAAGTTATATTTAATGTATCTATTATAGAATTTATTAACCTTTTGTGGTTAATTTAATTTAATTTAATGCGCTCTGACTACTGCCGCAAATACTTTAGGATGCAAAGTAATAGAAATTTAAGAAACTTACCTTAGAATTTTCCTTTCTGGGGCTTTCAAAGTTTACTGATACTTCAGGCAATAAAATTTAAGTATAGGAAGCACATTTCTACCACAAAGGGTTAATTTTACATTAATTAGGTATTTGTACATGTTCCAAGAATTTTTGAAAATACCGGGAAATCAGTTATTTACAATAAGACCCCCTGTATTCTATGATGGCATACCACAACTGGACCGTATTATTATTAATTATTAAGTAATTACGCAACATATCGAAATTCATGTTCATAATGATTAATCGCGAACGAAAATATATTTTTAATTCGCAACGATACACTTGGTTCGATTGTCCCAAGATTTATTTTGAAAGTCTCCGGTAAAGAAGAGACTTAAAAAAGAAAATTATTAGAATGAAAAATCCGTCGATTGTAGTATCCAAAGAAATTCATTATTCTATTCTCGTCTAATTGTAAATCTATTTGCGTACTGTCGTAAAAAAATGATGAATAGAGATGAAAAAAAAAAAATAAATAAATAAAACGTTTGCGAGCTTCAGACTCCGAAGATAGTCCGACTTGACAATATTGAACACGAAGTAAAAGTAAATTAAACGCCATAAGTTGAAGTTGTAAAGAATGGAAGCGCAAGTCGTAGACAAAGTCTACGATGACAACTATAAACGAACGATGAAGATTATGATAAACGATATTTATATAGTAGTCACTAATCTTAAGAATCAACAAGAGGATCGGCTTGCGGATGAAAGGGATTGAAATATTCTAAGAAAGTTACGAATAATAGTAAGAGAAGTTTCAGAGAGAAGGATACGTAAGAATTGTAGCTGAAAGGATGAAGTAATTGGCGCTTGTGCTTGATATTTATATTTTTCGAAGCAGAGAAATATTATTAGTGAGCTGTTGGTAACCGGCGCGATAAAACGAAAAATTGAAACACGGAGATTAAAAAAAAAAACACGAATACGGGATATACATATATAAATAATCGCGCTTACTAATAATAAACAATTACATTTACGTAATAATTCTTCATTTTTATTGTCACGAGGAAAGATGAAGTATATTATGAAAAAAAGAAAAAAAACTGAAAAAACTTTATCGAATCGTACACCTGTTCGATTTATCCATGTCTGTAAATATTATGTTTTTATATATGCATAAATGAAACTACTACTCGATGATATATATATTTATTGAGTACGTCAAGTAAAATTTGGGTCATATTTTACTGTTAGCAATCTTGCAGCGAATGTCATCAATAAAATTTAATAACCCACTTTGCAATAGACTTTTATTCTTTTGCGAATGATAATATTATATATATATATGGAAGTAAGTGTGTCTTTCTTGTCTTAATTGGTTGTGTAATTGTAAATGTATATATAATAACTTTTGGAGTACAGAAGGAGGGTGAATTAGATGACCATACTTTCTCATTGTTATATATTTTATACACAATAGCGGAGGCGTCATTGTTAATTTTTCTGCATATGTATAATATATTACAATTCAACGAATAAGAAGAAAAAAAAAAATACTAGACATAAATATCAAAATATTCCTGTGCAGAACTTGGTCTCTCCCTAACACGACGTTATTGCTTAATTAAGGACACTTTACAGGGCGTTGGATCTGACTTCTCCTTTTCTTAAATATATTAAAACACTCGATATTTTTACTATCGCTAGAAAAGTACAAAATAATTTCTCATCTCGTTTATCCTTTCTTTTTTAAAATAATACGATTTCAATCGAGCATATTATTCCATGGCCGCATGCTCGATCAAAATCGTCGGTTGCGCTTACATAAGTAATAATAAATAGCTTTAAATACTGATGTACAATTGCTTTGTGACTTACAAATGAGTTACAATTAAACTATATGGCAGTGATCTTGCTACTTACAGATATGTCGTGATATTTGCTTTCGTTTCTTTTTATAGCGGTTCTATAATTCGGTGCGAATTCGTGCCATAATTTGTTGAATGCTTTGTTAATCGTTTCTCAAACTATGCCTTGACCATTTTATTTGCATATTTATTTTGTAACGCATTACGACAATTTTTGTGATGAAATTCATAATAACATGTATGTATATGGAAAAATATCTTTCATCTATTAGCATACTTCCAAAATATTGTCATAAATATCATTAAAATACCTATTGGAATGGCAATATGAAGTGCAACGAATTGTTTGTACTTTGTTATTGCTTGCTAATGGTATGTACGAACATTTTCCAACTTTTAAATACTGTGATGGATCATTCGATTAATCTGCTGCAATAGTAGAAGAAATAACATAAATTTACAATTGTTAGTTTCTGTTATTTTCAAAGTATAAATAATTATATTAATGTACAAATTAATTGTTAATATTTAACTTAATTTTTCTTTACATATAAAATAGAGAAGAGAATTCTTTAGATCTTGCAGCAATAAAAAAAAAACAAGTTTGAGAAACATTGATGTAAATAAGCTTGCATGTTAGCATCTTTTGGCTTGGTTTTATATTATGTCTTAACAATTACAAATTTCCCATCACGATATGGCACTTGATCCTGGTGTGAAATTGTATTGAACACACTTCATGAAAACTTCTCGAGAATTGTGCGTCCATTGAACAGTCTTTGGAACTAAATTGAACAACTCAGAGGAGTTCACACGTTGTACTGATTATCATTGTACTGGGCAGGAGCTCAGGTGAATATTATGCAATTCGTCCATGTCTGTCCAATCCCTTCTCTCTCCCCCTATCATTACATTTCTTATGCATCCATTGAAGTGGTCCCTTGTTATCAGTGTTCCTTTTGGAGCAGAGGCTGAAATATTACAATAAACTCTATTAACAAAACTAAAAACAAATCAACATTAAAAATTTAATATTCTTAAAAAGGATATTGATTTACAAGTTGAAAAGCTATAGACTTCAGCAAAAGATAATTGATTAATTTACCTGGTAAACCACCAATGTAAAGGGGCCCGGAGACTGTAGAGTCCATTATATGGTAATTGACATTAGCTGGAAGGCCATATTTTTGGTCCATTTCGTCAACTTTTAATGCCAACTCTTCATCGTTATAAACTGCTTGTATTCTGTGCCATCGGTTGTCACAGATCGTGTATGGACTAGTGAAACGTTGCTCTACATACAACGGATTGTTGTCTCCCAGATCGCCTGACATGATCACTTTACCATTGTTCAATTCCAATGATAATGAAGGTGAATTACCAGGCGCTGTTATGGAAAGCAACACACCCGATAACTCTGACGTTCTGAATTCTAATTGAAGCTCTAAAACTGCACCTAGTTCAAAGTTTCTTTCTGAAAAAGAAAAAATATTGTTTTTTAATTAAAATTTGTATTATGGGAGTTATTTAATATATTATGTATTGTCTTCAGATCTTACTGTATATGGCATATGCTTCATCCTGGAAGTAAGCCCCACTTTCAACATTTGGGAAACATTGGCCAACATGGTAAGCCCTGCTCGTAGATCCAACCATATCATAAACATTTCCATTTACTCTTAAACCTCTGATACACCCTTTTAACGTCTCTAGTTTAACTACTACTTGTTCAGGTATCGGGGTTCCACTTTCAGGAAGTCCTCCAATATACATCATAGACGCCAGCCCAATCTTCCTTGGCACTTTAATTGTACGAGGTGTTTGGGCATCCACTAGTAACGTCAGCTTTCTTTCATCGTGACTAATAACGACATGATGCCAATTACCGTCATTAAACGGTGTCTTAAATAATATTTCTTTCTTTTGTTTGCTTTTCACCAAAAGAAGAAGCTGACCGTCTCTTATTACGACCATGAGGTAATGCTTTGGTCTGACGCCCTGAAGAACACATGAGAATACATTTTAATATTTATTATAATAAATTGTTGAGGGATATTGAAAACTTCCTTTTTACGTACTGGAGTGATGAATAAGAGTCCATTTGGATAATACGTCCGGAAGTCAAACTCTATCGCGTATTTCTTCTCCCAGAATTTCTTAAAATTTAGATAAAGTTGAGTGTGGCTGTTTGGTTTGTCTCCGAATTTCAGAGCACCAGGTTCCAACGAGTAATATGGAACTTTCTGACAACCTTCCGGTTGAGTAGATAATCCTCTGGATAAAGATGCTGATGGCGTGTAAGTAGGAGGATCCTTTCCCATGCTGGGTCCGGGACGACCGATGAGGGCATGGTCGAAACTGACAACTTCGTCAAATCTAATGATACTGAAAAAAGATTTTTAATTATGAATATCTTGATTTGTGTATCTGTAATCCTGCTTAGGGTTATGGAAGTTCAAATTACCCTGCAAATCTTTAACATTAGAAAAGAAAAGTTTAAGTTTATTTTACTTACTCCTCATTAAATACTGCGTCTTTAATAGCGCCGTACAAAGGAGTAGTGGTAGTGATCATTTTGGTATTGTTGATAAGTACTGGCAAGCCCCCAAAGAACAGTCCTCCATTTCCTTCAGGAGCCTTAATAGCGGCACTTGTTGGTGATCTACCCGAGGTCTGATAAGCATCATCTATTCGTAATTCAACATCTTTCCGCCTTTTAATTATCGTCACTGAATGATATCGTCCATCGTTAAAAGTATCATTCGATTGTAAAACCAGCTCTCCTCTTCCAGCGTTTAAACGCACTTGTACTTGTCCATTGATTAAGCACACTGAATAATAACTGTCTCTCTGAAAGAATCAATTAAATGCAATTTTAAATTTAAACAATTAACTAAGCAAAACAATTTTCTGGTCTATTTAAACAAAAAGAAAATAATTAATTTTACATATATTTACCTCTTCATTTCCATGTCGTATATTAGTTACCCGTTCTTCTTGTCCTTCAAACGTAGATAGAAGAAGCACAGCTTCTGTTTGCATCGTTCTAAAGGAGAAGCTCACCGTGGAATTTATTTTGCGAAGGGTATAGGCAGCATGTTCCAAATAACCGTCTCCGTAAAATCCTACTATTTTTAATGGCTGTAAAAATCAAAATTTAATATAGATAAAGTTAAAGGAAAATTATTAGTTTCTATTATTTCTTCTTTATTAACTTACTTTATTTCCACAGGTAGGTTCGACGCCGTAATACTGTTCAGCCATTGGGTCGTAGCCTTCCTGTACAATAATATTGGACATGCATCCAAGAAATGAAGCTTGCGGAGGTAGCATTAGTTTCTCCGCCCGGAAACTCGGCGGTACACCCCCGATGTAATATTTAGCCTGAATGAAATCAGGAATGTCGTCTTTCTTGGGCTGAGGGGTAGGTACACCGATTTTTTTGTCCGCATCCCCAACGCTCAAACTACACTTTTCAATGTTCTTACGAAGGTGATACTGTCTAAACGCATCCACCTTTGTCCAGTTTCCGGTATTGTATTTCGAGTACGAGGACATCTCCATGCTTACATTGCTACCATAACCAATGTGGAGGATCACCTTTCCTTCTCTAAGGAAGATCATGATATGCTGATACTGCAAGTAAGAAATAAAGTTAAATTATGTTTAATTCCAATTTTAATTATAATTGCTATATTTTTCACGTACATTCTTTGGATTTATAGCCAGAAATAGCAGAGCATTCTCATCGTAAGTTCTGAAATTAATAGACACTCCAAATGTGTATTTATTGTACGGGCCTGAAGAGACTCTGTTTCTAACTGCATAGCCTTCTCCATTGAAACTGTAAGCTATATCGTCCCTGACATCTTCCACTCTATAATAATAAAGTAAATCATTAAATAAATGAAGAAACAGCACTTATGCTGCACATAGGTTTCCCTAATTACCCTTCTACACATGCTCTGCAAGCCATATCCGGCGCAGTTGTGATGAAATTCCAAAGACCTATAGGTTTTCCATCTAAAATGACTTGATGCACACAACCTGGAAGTCCATTATTTGCAAGAAGTTCTGTTCTTCTTCGCTGAGACCTAGGAATTCCACCTATCCAG